GGAGGTCCGCGCCTTTGGATCAGCGCTGGACCCCCCCTCCCTGGCGCGCGAAGTGCGCAAGATACGGCGCGGAAGGCACCGCCAGGGAGGCCCGGCGCCAATCCAAGAAATCTGCGCGGACCTCCGACAATGCATGCTTGCGCAAGTATCGTAAGGAGGATCAGGGGAGGAGGATCAGAAAGGACACGAAAGGGCAGAAGAGCAGAGAAGACGTGCGGAATCGTCGCGCTCTTCCGCGTCCCATGCCGTGCTTTTGTCAGCAGCCCCGTCTGGTTCTTCCGCGTTCCGTTGTGCGTGCTGTTTCCGCATCCCTGTTCGTCTTTCCCATGTTCCCCTGCGTGTTGCCGCATTCCCTTGCGCAGAAGAGGAGGAGATGAGGAAAGGAGGAGGAGGACGACGACAACGTCGACGACGACCTCCAAGAAAGGCACCGTCCGCTCAGGGGGCCGTGGGGCTGGCCTGTAGAGGAAGGAGCAGCGACGACGGCAGGGAGAGGAGGGAGAGGGGAAGCGAAGCGAAGCGAAACGCGCAGCTCCGCCTGAGCGGGACCCTTGAGGGTCCCGCTCTGGCGGAGCTGCGCCGTGTCGGAGATGTGTATAATGAAGCCGCCGCCTACGTTAAAAGGAATTTCCTGGGAGATCTTCGTCGGAAAGATTAAAGAGGATTAAGCCCCATTGGGGGATTGTTACGCCGGAGCGGGCCTCGGATTGAGCGGGAGAAAGCCAGATTGATTGAGCGGCACTGAGCGGGATTCAGCGGCATCGAGCCGGATTAAGCCGGACTTCGGACCAGGGCAACATCAAATTCTGACGTGTCATGAAACCATCGCGTATGCGATACATATAATATCTCTAAGTTGTGCCACGCGCAGCTATCGCAAGAAAGTTGCAGGCACCATCGGCAGCTTGTGTCGTCGGATGCTCTTTGGTTGTCAACCAGTTCTGTGATACCGAGAAGGCGACGATATCACGATGATATCTGTTCCGCTGCCCTTCGAGTTTCCTCTGGGCAGGTCGTTTGTCATGCACTGGGGGTGCCCACACGGCGGCACGCCGTGACCAACAGCCAGTGGACTGATCTGCGAGGCGGAAAACCCACCGCCATATCCTGCTTTCTAATAGTCGACTTGGGTTCGCCAGGCGTGGGCGTTGGCAGTGCGCGTTGCTTTCCAGATGAAGGCAACCCAACACTGCACAGCGCTGTCGTCAGGCTTATTACTGATGTTGTGAGAGAGATAGAGAGAGAAAAAAAAAAAAAGCAGGAGTAGGAAGAGGAGGAGGAGGAGGAGGAGGAGGAGGAGGAGGAGGGATGGGGGAGGGGGAGGAGGAGGATGAGAAGGAAGAGGACGAGGAGAAGGAGGAGTAAGACGGAAGGGGGGAGGAGGAGGAGGAGGAGGAGGAGGAGGAGGAGGGGGAGGCAGAGGAAGAGGAGGAGGAGGAGGAGGAGGAGGAGGAGGAGGGGGAGGAGGAGGGGAGGAGGAACAGAGGGAGGGGGGGGGAGGATGGACGAAGCGGAGGAAGGAGAAGGCAGGAGAGAGGAGGAGGGAGGCAGAGGAGGAAGGTGCGGAGGGGATGACGGAGGGAGGCGATGGAGAGAGCAGAGGGAGGAGGGCGGTGCAGAGGGGGAACAGCGGGCGGGAGGAGAGGGAGGACGACGGAGGAGGGAGGGACGGTGGGAGGGAGGCGGGAGGGCTCACGCGCCCGAAATCGGGGCAGAAAGAGCGTGGACGATGCGGGTAGCGAGTGCTGTGTGAACGTGACGCGGGTCATCGCTGGACAGACGATGTGCGACATAAGCGGACAGCGCTACTCGCAACGACACCGGCATCGGCTTGTACTTGCGCTCGTGTTGAACATCATTCGCGATTTCGCCCGCTACTTGTGCCGACCAATCTCGTAATGTCACACTTGGCACCCGCGCGGGAAGGGAATGACCAACTCGCTCCCACACAGCGCCGGCATACATCGTGAAGTACCTGACCCCTGCCCCCACCCTCACCCACAGATTGAACTGAAGAGGCCGCTTGCGGCCCTCCAGTACGGCTGGCGATGGAGGAGAACAAAACGAGAATGAAGGTGCGGAGGTTTTTCCCGCGACCACAAATGCTGCGAGTGCTTCGCGACGGCGTTGCTTGCCTGGACGGCCAGGCAGTCAGAATCCGAGCCGAGACCACCTGGCCTCAGAGAGGGACGGCCCCCCGCCGCCCCCTGCCGCCCGCCACTCCAGCCGGGGGAAGCTGGAGACAGTAGAGGCCTCCTAGATGGGGTTCGAGTAGATGGGGTCGGAGGATCTCACTGCATCGCCGATACATCGGCGATGCATCGCCGATGCATCGGCGATGCGTCGGCCATGCACTGGCGACGTCGGCGACTCATCAACGACGTCCGCGTGAAGAAAATCGGGCTCCGCATCGAATCGTATCGGCGATACATCGGCGATGCGGCGCGATCCTCCGACCCCCTCTGCTCGGACCCCATCATTGGGAGACCTAGAGACAGTCAGGCGAGACGACCGCCGCAGGACGTGCTCCCCGAGCGGGCAGGAAAAGAACGGCAGAGCGTTCGCCCCGAAAGAGAAAAAGCACCGCGCGCGAGCCGCTCCGCCCTGCCCACCCAGAGCACGCCGCCCCCCCAAGAGGTACCGCCCCCGGCCCCCGGCCCCCGCCTGTGAGAGGCCGGACCCCCGGAGCGCCCTCGACGACCTGGCGGGTCACCAGGCCCCAGGTAGACACGGTGTCCACGACCGCCCCCGCAGGTCCCCCTGCCCAGGGGGGCCAGGTGGCACGCATCCGTGAGCTCCCACTGCGACCACGTCCTGGGGAGGATCTGACCCGGATGCGGTACACTGACGTATGGCGGACAAGACCAAACCGTGCTACTCGCAGCACCCACAGAGCCCCGCACAGGGGGGCCGTGTCCCCCGTCACGGCAAGAGTGTCGAGGCCCTGGGATCCTGGACAGCCTCCCCCCCGTCGAGCACGGCTAGGCGATGACAGTCCCGCGACCCCAGGGTTGCCCATCCCGCCGCGGCGCAGGCCTGGAAGGCCTACGACTGCCTCTCTTCTCCCCCAAGGACTGGCCCGGGGTGACGAACGGGAGGCTACCCGCCTGTTTTCCTGGGAAGGGGAGCCAGCTGATGATGCGGAGGAGGAGGAGGTGGAGGAGGAGGAGGAGGAGGAGGAGGATGGGGGAGGATGGGGAAGGATGGGGGAGGATGGGGGAGGATGGGGGAGGATGGGGGAGAAAGGGGAGGGGCCGCGGAAATGCTCCTAGCGCCAGGGGGTTCAACAAAACAATAACTGCCTGTCGTCGGGGCAGGGCCAGTTGGGGCAAGCGTGGCTTTCCAGCCCCGCCCAGATCCACACACCAAGGACCCCCAGACCGTGGGGGAGGTGGGGGGGGGAGGGGTCGATGTACGTATGCACCACGGCGCTGGGTTGGCCAAAAGTCTCGGTGCGTGGGCGCCCCGGCTGCCCACCCTGTGGGACGCCGGACTCTCTATATTGGGGAACAAACAAATATGAAGCCAACAGAACAACTCGGAGGTCCGCGAGGACTTCTCGGATCAGCGGACTGGGGAACAAACAAGTGAAACTAACATACCAACTCGGAGGTCCGCGAGGACTTCTGGGATCAGCGCTGGGGCCCCCCTGACGGCGCCTGCGGTGCCGCCCCTGGCGCGCTCCGCGCGCCAGGGAGGGGGTCCGGCCCCGATCCGAGAGAAATCCGCGCGGACCTCCGAGTTTAAGTGTCTGTGTGGTTCTTCGTTCCCCTCGTCTTCGCCGGCCCCTTCTGGAGGAAGGGCGGGCGGGGGTCGGCCACGCGAAAGAGAGTGACCCGAGGCAAGAGTGACCCTCGGTGCGCGGCTTGCCAGCCGCTGCGTGCGGCGCGAAGGCGGCGGCCTCCGTGCTCGGGCCTGGCCCGGAAGCACCCCCCGAAAGCCGCGCAACAAAGGTGCCGCTCCAGCAAAGCGTTGGACGCTCGTTCTGGGGGCCTTCCTGGAGCCACTCGCTCCACTCATGCGTCGAGGCTGCGTCGAACGCCCGTCGACCTGGGCCGACCTCGGGTCGAGCTGGAGCCGAGCCAAAGTCGAACCTGAAATCGAGCTAAGTCGAACTAGGAGTCGAACAGATCCGCCAGGTGGCCCCCCAGGAAGGCCCCCATGAGCGAGCACCCGAGCGACGATCAAAAGCGGGTCTTCCGCGAGATGGCGCAACGACCTCACGCGGCGGCGTACGCGGGCCGCTCGACCAGCACGCCGCACTGGAGCACGCGGGCGCCTGCGCGCGAGCTCGCGCGGCCAGCTTGCGCACCCACGTCGGCGCAGACATCCCCGCGTTTTTGCTGCGTCGCCCATCCGAGAAGTGCCGGCGGCGAGCGAGGGGGGGAATGATGGGCCTGTTTTCCACCACCACCACCACAAGTTGGAGAAGGGGGGGTCCTCCTCCTCCTCCTCCTCCTCCTCGTCATCGTCCTCCACCTCCTTGCCCCCTCCAACTTATGGTGGTGGTGGCGGTGGTGGAAAACAGGCCTTTCAGGGAAGTGAGGATGAGAAGGTCTTCGCAGAAGGCTCGGAAGTTCCCCGGCCTCCTGAGAAGTTCTCTGAGCCTCCCCCGGAGACAAACACCCTCCCACAGGGCGCGGGGGGGCTCCCGAGAAGCCCCGCCGCCTTCTGAGAGCAAGGCCTTCTCCTGCTCGGCTCTCCCCCCGTCACTTGCCGCCGAAAGCAGCAGGAGAGCCCAGAATCGAATCGATGAGTCGGATCGGCGATCGAAATGAATCGGATCGGCGGGAACCGGCAGCCGAGTCGGGACACGTCGAACCAGTTGAAATAGGCAGGCGAGTACGCCTCCAATAAAAAAGAACCCCGAATCGGAATCCCAAGTCGAATCGAATCGGATGGGAAGCCATCGAAGTCGAATCGAACCGAATCGAAGGAGTCGAATTGAGCCCTGGAGAAGGGGTACTCGTAGGTGCAGCCGAGGGGGGCCCTCGGCGCGCCTGGTCCACGGCCCCGGCAGCGGCGAGTGGCTCCGCTGCGCCGCCGCCTGCGCCCCCCAGACGGCCGAAGGAGACGCCGGCGACAACGACGCCGACGCCGACGGCCACGACGACGCCGACGACGCCGACGACGACGCCGACGACGCCGACGACGACGGCGACGGCGGCGACGGCGACGACGACGTCGGCGACGGCGACGACGACGTCGGCGACGGCGACGACGACGACGACGGTGGTGGCGGCGGCGGCGTGGCGGCGGCGACCACAGCACACCGGCCCCGAGTGCGCCCCGCCACCCCGGCGACGAGGACGAGACCCCCTGATCCGAGGCCGGGGGTCGGCTGATGGCAACGCCCTCGTCCTGCTCCTCGCCCTCCTCCACCACCTCCGCGTCCTCCTGCTCCTTCTCCTCCTCCTCCTCCTCCTCCTCCGCTTTGTGTGCTCGATCTCTGCGGCGTGTCTCTCTCTCTCTCTCTCTCTCTCTGACTCTATATATATATATACAGATATTGCTTTTTCTCTCTCTCTCTCTGTCTCTCTTGCTCCTTGCATATGTCACTCAGTTTCTCGTTATCTTTCCCCTTCACTCTGATGAAAAATGGCAGGGCCTCCAAGGATGCCCCCTCGCCGCCGCGGCTGGATCCGCATCGAGTTCCTTGTCAGGACGGATTCCCAGAGGCCGACGACGACGATGGAGGCGGACACGGCGACGGAAAGGCCGACGGCGAAGGCGACAAGGGAACGGGCAGCGGGGAGGAGGCCACGGAAGAATAGGAGAATGCGATGACCAGGCAGACGAGGAGAATGCGAGTACTGACGCTGACGGCGACCACCCAGGAAAGAACGCAAGCGTTGGGGATCCGAATCCCGAGCGAAGCAAATTATCAACGACACACGGGCGATGCAGAGCCCAAAGCCCACCCACCATGATAATAAGCTGATACTGATACTGGCATCCGATACTGATACTGATCTCCCCCCTTTGGGTGTGGTGTGGCGCGGTGGTGAGAGCTGGCGCGCGTGCTTACGCGTGCGCGCGCGTGTTTGTGTGTGGTTGTGTGTGTGTGTGCTGGTGTGTGTGTGTTTTGTGTGTGTGTGTGTGTCTGTCTGTCTGTCTGTCTGTCTGTCTGTCTGTCTGTCTGTCTGCCCCCTCTTTGTTAATTCAAGTTTAGCGCGGCCCGCTTAGCTTCGACCGGAAGAGGTGCGCTCTCGACCCGCGCGTCAACAAAAGTGTCTGTCTGTCTGCCTGTCTGTCTGTCTGTCTGTCTGTCAGTCAGTCAGTCTGTCTGTCTGTCTGTCTGTGTCTGTCTGTCTCTGTCTGTCTCTCTGTCCCTGTCTGTCTGTCGCTCTGTCTCTCTGTCTGCCTGTCTGTCTGTCTGTCAATCTGTCTGTCTGTCTGCCTGTCTCTCTGCATGTCTGTCTGTCAGTATGTCTGTCCGCCTGTCTGTCTGTCAGGTTGTCTGTTTGTTTGTCTGTGTCTGCCTGTGTCTGTGCGTGTGCGTATGTGTATGCGTGTATGTGTGTTTGTGCGCGTGCGTGTGCGTGTGCGCGTGCGCGTGCGTGCGCGTGTGTATGTGTCTGTGCGCGTGTGTGTGTGTGTGTGTGTGTGTGTGCGTGTGTGCGTGCTTGCGTGTTTGCGTGTGTGCGTGTGTGCGTGTGTGCGTGTGCGTGTGTGCGTATGTGCGTGTGTGCGTGTGTGCGTGTGTGGTGCGCGTGTGCGCGTGTGCGCGTGTGCGCGTGCGCGCGTGTGCGCGTGTGCGCGTGTGCGCGTGTGCGCGTGTGCGCGTGTGCGCGTGTGCGCGTGTGCGCGCGTGTGCGCGTGTGCGCGTGTGCGCGTGTGCGCGTGTGCGCGTGTGCGCGTGTGCGCGTGTGCGCGTGTGCGCGTGTGCGCGTGTGCGCGTGTGCGCGTGTGCGCGTGTGCGCGTGTGCGCGTGTGCGCGTGTGCGCGTGTGCGCGTGTGCGCGTGTGCGCGTGTGCGCGTGTGCGCGTGTGCGCGTGTACGCGTGTGCGTGTGCGCGTGTGCGCGTGTGCGCGTGTGCGCGTGTGCGCGTGTGCGCGTGTGCGCGTGTGTGCGTGTGTGCGTGTGCGTGTGTGCGTGTGTGCGTGTGTGCGTGTGTGCGTGTGTGCGTGCGTGCGTGCGTGCGTGCGTGCGTGCGTGCGCGTGCGTGCGTGCGTGCGTGCGTGCGTGCGTGCGTGCGTGCGTGCGTGTGTGTGCGTGCGTGCGTGCGTGCGTGCGTGCGTGCAAGCGTGCAAGCGTGCGTGCAAGCGTTCAGGCGTGCGTGCAGGCGTGCGTGCAGGCGTGCGCGCGTGTGTGCGAGTGTTTGTGTGTCTGTGTTTGCGGTAATGTGTGTGGTGGCGCAAATGCGCGTTGATGAACTGCGCAGTCGCACGCGCGTGCCTCGAACATGTGCACCCGCGCGTTGCGTTGGATGGCTCAATTACATTGGTTTCGTAGCCTGCGGTTTCTGCACGCGCGATTGCACTAGCAACGCAGCGCCCA